TAGCACGCTTCGCATGCCTGTCACAATGAGCTCAATTGATGTACATCCAAGAGCGGGGAGAATGTCGCTCACCAGTGGGTTGCGCCTCCGGATCCTCAGATCTTGGCCGCTGTGGGTGCCTGCACCCTTCTGGATGATGGGATGGTTATCTTGCACACTCCATGAGGGCAACAATCCCGCAGCTACTTCTGAGTCCTGCATGGCTTTGTATGCACAAAGCAACTGTTTACTGTGACCATGAGTAAGGAAGGCCCATAGGGGGGCTTAGTGGACCGGATGGAGACAGAGCAGCCAGTCGTCTTGTCTGCGATAAAAGCACTAGAAAATTATGGCCGGTATTGATTGGCTGACAGTTATGAGAGCATAGAAACGGGAGGCAAAAGTGAAAAGCAGACTAAAAAAAAATATTCAAGGCGCTCCGATCACACAAGCAATGATATACACAGGAAAACGAAAGTTAGTTGGAAGCTGACGGCGCGCCTATGACAGCGCTTCACGCGATGGATCGAATATGGCAGAGCCGGTCCCGCTTAGCGCTGGAGATTCGGGTGAAGTGGCGTGCAGTTTATTCCGCCCAGCAAGCGAGGGAAAAGGGGAAGGTCGATGTAGAGCAAGATCAGGGACGAAGCGACATATACTGTGCTTGTGAAATGGACCCTTCGCTCACTTTTGCTGATATTACAGCAACTGCCAGCAGATGACCAACGTTGGGCAAGATTTTTCCTTTTCCTCTTGAACAGCCAACCGAGGGTCATCGCCAAGATTATTAATGACGCTCTAGCCTTTGAGGCGCTCGGCGGTCGGCACTCGTCGCTTCCGTCTCCGTCGGGCTCGTTGGCGCCGATGGTTCGTTCGATTGTATCTCTAGTCCATTCCAGAAGAACTGCTCTTTGAACCCTGGCGCTTATTCGCTTTGAGACTTCATCCGTTCAGACTCTTATCTGGTTTATTCCAAACAGTAAGGGGATGTAGTGATCTGGTGAATAGAGACAGGGCAAAGGCTTCTCTACGGCTTGAATCCATGGTTTTTTCAATGTCGTCGGTAATGCCAGTGATGAATTGATAATTCTAGAATCGATTTAGAATCCCTGTCAGCTACTGACTCAAAAGCCTGCTCGCACCTGTTTGCTCTGAATGAACCAAATGCATACCTTTTATAGGCCCAGTACTCATCGTTTTACAGTCTTGCCAGCGTCTGCCTTTCGGACGCAATCCCTCCTAATCCAGCAAGACACCCTCTATCTCATTGGGTATGCTTAATGCCGCCGAACGCTGCAAACTTGTGTGTACCAATGAGCGTCGCTCCTTAGAATCCGTTGGATATATTATAATGACTACCCAGCAGATGCACTCAAAGTAAGTGTTGGGCTTCCTTCGTGGCCTAATTTATCTCGAAGAACCCTATGGATGCCTGCCATATACGCCATTGCAACACTGAAGGTATGCGTAACTCTGCCGTAGAGATTTTGTCCAGACGATCGCTATTTCTCAGGCTAGCTTTCCGAGCTTCGGGGGTTCTTTTAATGAAGAGGGTAAATCACTATCAGAAGCCCATTGTTAGCACGGGGTGGAGGATTAAAGCAAGAAATCATGCGGTATGGCAGCCTTACGAACCCATAGTTGTTGCAGCGACTAAGGCTTTAGACTAAAGGTCAGAGTCCGATCAGATAAAAGCCCGCGTCAGACTTTCATTGGACTTCCCCCGTCCAGGAAAGCTCAATCTCCCCCGCATTTCGTGGAAGATGCAGTGCTCTCTCCTCCTCGCCTCCCCAACGAGCAAAATAGAACTTGCCTGCTCAGCTCAGCTGATTGTCCCGGGGGGCGCGGGAGTTATGACATGTCATCTTGGGACGTAAACAGATTATTTAATGGATGCATGCTCATCTGTTTGATGAAAGAGTCAGAGCTTGGTAAAAGACGCGCACGCTATTGAGTGAGTATCGTTCTGTTGCTATCCGTTGCCTTGACTGCTGACTCGGTGCCCACCATAATGGCTCCTGGTCTCGGTAAAGGTAGTATCAATTCTTGTCTAATCGGATTGAGTCACCTTTTCCCTCTCCATGTGAAGCCTTTCGAGCAGTAGAAAAAGCGAGTATATGAGAGACAGGAGAAGGGAGAAAGTTTGACGGCCGAAGAATAGATAGATCGTGTCTTCCGCGTTGGTAAACACTGGAGCACGTGCTAGTTCATCAGCCGGTGTAGTTATTGCGTACCGTCTGTACAACAACAGACAGTTGCATACGATTAGCATTCGTAAACCATACCCGATTAGATTACTGCCGTGGTACATTTCCGAGGTTCGCAACTCTGCTATACAAACTGGCGTAGTAGAACATAATCCGGCCGGGGCGATACCTAGTAACCATTGGTGTGCTAAGCAATTTACGGCTACTCTAGGCTTTAGCTGTAGCAAGTGGCAATCTACGCCACTCAAGTAGCAAAGGACTAGAAACACCGAGTCAGCTCACGAAACTTAAAAGCCGCAGCCTGGAACGGCATCTCTCGTAGTTATGTTAGATATTACGCTTGGTCTCTTCCTAGTGGATATGTATACATTCCGAAAAGGAAACATCTCCCGAATATACGAGCCCTATAGGCATTGCTACTGCACGAGTAAGACATGAGCTAAAATTTCATGTACTACTTCTTGGCAAGTGGGCAGGAAGAAGTCAAGCATGAAGATGGGTGGCATGAGGCACAAATTGGCAGTGGAGAATCAACTTCCAGCGGCGCAGTAGGTGGTTGGAGAAGTGGATAGTAGTCAATCCAGTCGGACGCGGAAAAGCCTATTAGGTTGTCGACGTGGTAAGCCTTCTTTACGTAGGTTAATGCATAATTGGAGTTATTGTGGTCCATTGCGGCGCCGAGATGGTCCCGAGAAGAGGACATCCACTCTCCGTAAGATTCGAGACTTCTCCGTGGACCGTGTCATCCATCGGGGAGGTCTTTTTGAATGACAGCAGGATGCAGTGGGTACGCAATGAGAGGCTAGGTCAGTAACACTTACCGGAGAACTCCCGTCAATCAGGGACCATTTTGACTAACCAGTCCAATACAGTGCGTAGTCTGTGGTGACCCGCGAAGAATCAACTGTAATTGACAGCAACCGCATGGTCCAGATAATGCACATTGCGGAACTTGTGCAACGCAACCAGTGCAGGTGTAAGAACCGTACTTAAGTATACTCTGCAGGCCAGTCGAGGACCCAACTAACCAAATCCGCGGAACTTGACAGGACTATGTAAGGGGAGAAAGATCTTCCACCCGATGGATACGTTGAGGAAGTTGGACTGGGGAGCAGTGTGGTGTCGATCGGTCCGATCATAGCCAAACACAGATGGCCACCAGCACAGTGAGGTCATTTTCCGCCGTGGAGCGCGGGGAAAGCAGTCCCTCCAGTAGAGATAGAGGCAGAGGAGCAGAAGATGGATTCAGGAGACGGACGGACGGAAACGCCAAGCTTGCATGTTAGTCAGTAGTTATGGTTAGTTAGTTAGCTATCCAGAATCCAGATGCCTCGAAAGTTCGATCAAGGAAGGAATCAACGACCGGGAGGACCGCGTCATTCAGCAACGCGTTTAACTGATTATGATTTGCTCCGAGTAATAGTGAAACGGCAAATACAGAATATCCCAGGGCTCGGACAAGGTGCTTTTGTGAGAGCAGTGGAGAAACCGAGGTCTGGCTCAGCGATGGGTGGACTGGAAGAGAATATTAATATCTGGGAGAAGACAGTGCTCAGGGAAGGGGATTGGCTCATGGTCCAACCCCTGGTGGAAAGCTAATCCCAAGACGGGCCACACTAATCTGCGGCGGATAATGTTAGATTGGATCATGGATGGTCGTTGGCTGTAAGGTTCTGGTAACGGAAATGCTAGACTCATAGTTAAGCCACACTCAGATGTGGGTATCAAAATTACCCATGATTACCAATTGTTCTCCGTGCCGTGGCACTTCCCCTTTTCAGTGGTCGACGGGGCGGGACTGGGAGGGACTTTTCGCTCCTCTCGGACGGCGTTCGCCTGTCTTTGTCGTGTCCGGGCGATGATCGAACAGGTTGACGTCCGCATTATACTGGAAGTAGTAAGTAGTGGGAGTAGTCAGTATAGTAGTTGGTTAGTACGTACTGTCTTAGTAGTGGTGCTGCCCAGTGCCGTGCTCCTCCCCCCCTCCCTCTCCCCTACTGGACCTTCTTAACATTCTGGAATGAGTAAGTAACTGGTTTTTTTTCCCCTTCTCCTTCCCCCAAAATCTATCCCCGATCCAATCTCCTTCTGTTTTATCTTTCCCACCCCCCTCCTCCCCAACTATTTTTGTTTCTTCTTCCCCTTGGAAACTATATCTATCCATCTTCTCCTCCCTCCCGCTCTCCGGACTCCTCCGCAACTGCCCGCCCACTTAAAGCGGTGAAATCATTTGGCCATTTCCGAGGCTGTGACTGGCCAACCACAGCGTGCGATCACGACATTTCTCCATTCTATCAGATCATCCGCTAGCCTTGCCCGGGCATGAGACGATCACCACAACTGCGTGGTCCTTGGTGCTTATTCCCCGGCCTGACGCTCGTTTTTCTCATCTTTTCGCCCTGGTGATACATGGTCCTGGTTGCTGGTCGTTTCCTCCTTCTGCAACTAACTCTACCTACTCTGAAATCCCACCCCTCTCTTTAATCTGGCCACGCTTGGTCTCGATCCACATCGCAACCTGACTAGCTTTCCCGGTCGCCCCCTTCTTCCCTCCCACCCATCCCTCCCGGCCCATTGTCCCATTACTGCTCGTGCTTCTCTGCGTACGTGGCTAGCCGTCCCGGGCCATGCCATAGCGAGTGATGGAGTGAATTGCAGAACAGATATCTTTGCTACAAGTCACCCAATCTGCAACCTGTGAAATATTCCTGCCAGCCTGTATTATCTCCGAACCTTACTTTTCCACTCACACACACCCCCCTTCCCCTCCTTTTTTTTATTTTTTTTACACGCTGATCTGGGGTTTGGCATTGGCTTGTCAATTCTGTACCATTCTGTTGTCATCTAAACCACTTCTGGATCCTGCCTGTCCGGGACGCAGCCACCAAGCAATTTGGGAGGCAAGCGGTTACGAAAAAGAAAAATACCCAAAAACGAACCTAATTTAGAGGGCAAGGGCCGGAATCCCTCTAAATACCTCCCTCCACTGCCAATATGTCAGATGAGCAACTTGCCCGTCAGACAGCCTCGAGCTTCGATAGGCTCGAAAACTTCAACTTCCTTCTCTCTCGACACGATCCTAACTTGGCCAAAAGCCGTCACTATTCCTTTGACGCAGATTCTACCGGCCTGGCTGCCTTTTCGAATCTGAACATGGATTACGATCAGACCGAGGGGATGGGCGGTCTCTCCGTCAGTTCGTACGATAGCATTGAGGACGAACGCAGTCCGATCGATGTGCGCGGATATCCGTATCATGGTAAGTCTCCAAGATCTATGACTCTCATCGTTGCATCGTTTGCGCAATTTTCGTGCTTTGTGGTTCGCTTTAATTTCGTTAGCCCTACGGCATTGGATGGCTTTATTATGCTGGAAGTTGCTGTGGAAGCGCATGTAACCGCAGATGCCTTGTCCTTGTTGCTTGTGACCAGATTTGTCTTGAACATGATCCTCCCTGCGTCCTTTAATTCTGGCTGCCTGAGAATGGCCACATTGAATACCTTCTGTAACCACTCTTCCCCTTTACTTGTTCGGGAGGTTCTCTCGATTCTGTTGATTTTTTTTCGCTGCATTGCGAAAATTCTGCAGCTCCGGGACACCTTACCCACCTTGGTGTTGGTTCTATGCTTGTTCGCTCGTCTGTGGTGTCATTAGCTTGAGGTTTTGGTGGGTTGCCATCCCCATGTCTGGATGAGCGCTCTATTTGAGCACGCAATCGTTCACACCAATGACAACGTCGGGAACCCTGTCGTTAACGGACCCTTATGCCGAGCTTACTCTTCTTGATCATCCAAGGCCCCCTTCAAGTGCTCCATGTTCCCCCTGCTTCTGTTTCCTATCTTGAACATTGTCCCCTTCTTCTTGTTGTTGTTGTCTCCATATAACTTCTTGGCTTCGGGTGTTACCACCCCATGCTACCTACTACCAAGGGACAAGTGTATTGACTGCTCTATACAGACCAAATGCTGTCCTACTCAGCTCATCCCATCTATCCACCTATCTCATATGGTCCTCCCGATGACCTGGGGCACGGTGCGGGTGCTATGACACCCTCGGATGTCTCCTCTTCGATCTCACCTCCCAACGGTCATATCAACCACAGCAAGTACAGCACGCAGATTCCTGGCGATCACCTTGCTTCCGCCCTTGGCCAGGAGGAGGGCGTCCGCCGTGCTGCCGAAGAAGACCGGCGACGCCGCAACACGGCTGCCAGCGCCCGGTTTCGCATGAAGAAGAAACAGCGTGAACAGGCCCTCGAACGCACCGTGCGCGAAACCACCGAAAAGAATGCGACTCTCGAGGCGCGTGTAGCACAGCTCGAAATGGAGAACCGCTGGCTGAAGAACCTCTTGACCGAAAAGCACGAAGCCAGCACGACTCGGATGGCTCCTCCCCCAACTGACAGCGCAGCCTTGGCCTCCCAAGGTACCAACGCTACTGGCCCCGGGCAAAAACATATTCAGCCAAAAAAGAAGGGCGTCGGGACCGACAACTGAAGTCAAAGAAAAGAAGTTGCATCCTTGATTCTTGTTTCGAGCTTCTTTTGTTTTTCTTGCTTCATCGTCCTCAATCATTTCGATATTTACATAGTACCTGCGTGGACCTCCATGGGTCTTCTTTTGTATGGGTCCACTCACAGTCTGGGTGGCCCGTCGCATCTGTTTTCGTTTCCCTCTTTTAGGCTGGTTATCCATCCTAGGATGGAGTCAGATGACGATGTAATGACATGTTTCCTATGTTCTTCTATCTCCTGTTTGTGTGCGAAGGTGAGGGTTTGTGGGTCGTCTTCAGCCTGGTTCGGTTATTTCTTCAGGGCCATGGACATGGTTTCGCTTATGGTTGTTGTTGTGAGCTTTCAGCGGGCTGGGGTCAGGGATAGAGTCCTCTGAACCCCTTATATATATACATACGTGCCTCGCAATCGGAGTACTGGGAAGGGTTACTTGTTCATCTCTTGTGTTTTCTGTTGGTGTTGGTGTTGTTGCTGTTGAACGCATTGACCAGCCCAAGTGCAACAGTGGTCTCGAAGACTCGACTCTTGTATACGGTGTTTCAGACTCATACTACTATTATCATCTATCTACTATATGCCGAACGGGCCTCAGCCGAGCCCAAGTGCCAGAATGAACTGCACGGCTTATTTCCTATCAAGCAGCGAAATATCACTTATATCAGTAGTCCGAGAACCCTGGATGAGGTGCCCTTAACCATTCAGCCACCGTCCATAAGCAGGTAGTACTACGGAGTAATAATCTCCATAAGGCAAAGAAAGACAAGGGTCACATGGCGCCCAACATCAATCCGGGGAATCCGCCTTGGGTGGCCCCGACCGACCGACCACCCGCTCCCGACCGCCATTTCTTCCGCCCGTGACATCACCCTCTAATTACTTACTGTAAGTAGTAAATGACTGCCTGAGGAAAGAAGCAAACTAGCAGGCAGCCATCCAAGCCCGGCTGATAGTACCTCCGCAACGTTTTTACAAAAGTAGACTCTTTCATGATGATTCCTTTAACTGATTGATTCTTCTTTAGTGTGCATACATAATTTAGACACTTAGGCTTCATGCAACTGATACTGCTATTTAGCCGTCCATTCGTATTAAACTTATCATCTGACTATTATATCCTTGGGGAAATACCATCACTAAGATCGATCATATTAGAAACGTAACTTTAGTAAAAAGTACTTAGTACTAAAAAGATGGGCTAGCCTATCGGAGCCATTCTTCCTGCTATTTTCGCATGTACTTAGTTAGTTGAAACATTTATTTAGTTACGATGGAATGGCGTGATATAGAGAGATGGTCACGATTGTTTGGCTAGATCGTATTGGACGTGGGGTGGGTGGGGGGTTTTTCATTCTGATTTGTGCTTTGTATGTTGCTTTAGTAGTAAGTATGAGTAAATAGCAAACCAAACCCAGGCTGTAAACATACTACTAGTAGTAGCTACTTTGTAGGGTGAACTAACGAATGTGACTTCAGCTGTTGTGGGACTTGTTTAATAGAATTGGATCGAATGCAGGCCATTGCACAGCTCATTAACAAGTTCATTAAGTACCTACTCCTATCCCAAAACACACGGATTCAAACCACGAGCACGAGACGAACTCAAGGAATGCATCAACTATAGATACTCTCTCTCTCTCCTTCTCTCCCCTTCTTTCTGTCCCCATCCTCCTCGCAGGTGGTATAGTAATACATTAATCAGTTCGACAATAGAGTAAGTTCCCCTTTGACCCGGCTATGTCTCCTTGGATCGCGAACATTTTTCACCGCTCGTGTAGGATTCCAATTCCTTCACCAACAGGAGAATGTCTCGATATTAGGGTCGGGACATGCGTCGTCAGGGGTTGAATTAATCGTAAGGTAACAGGAAACTCGTTAGGGGTAAAGAAACACAAAAGGCATCAAGGAAGAACAACAACATAACAAGCGGGAATCTCAAACCGCAAATATAGAGACAAAGATGAGAGAATCGATCAGTACTCTGGCGGTCTCAAAGAGCGTACATGATCCACCAAGGTAAACTGGTCTTCACCACTTTCTCATCCTATTTTAAACAGACACCGTGACGGGCTCCCGCTCCTCTTCTCGACCCCGCGACTCTCCATCCACGGTGCTGGCCACTTCCTCACCGTCCTCTACCTCGTGCTGGTAGGTCGCATGCTGATCCGCGGGTACCCAAGAGTCACGGCCCATGGGCTGGTCCTGTCCGGAAAGATCGACGCCTTCACGGCCCTTGAGGGTCTCACGGTGACGCTGGGACAGGGTGCGCGAGCGCTGCGAGAGAGTGGGCTTGACCGATGCCTTGGAGGTAACCCAGTTGGCAAGGGCTTCCTCACAGTCTTGGATGATAGCTTTGCTGGCGTCATATCCATCATAGGCATGGCGAGTTTCGCCGGGAGTAACCGGCGTGTCATCAACCAGGTCCAAGAGGTGCTTGCCGTAACCAGCGATGAGGGCCACCTTCTCGCAATGCTCCCTGAGCGCATCGAACTGGTACTGGAAGGCTGCCTTGAGCTTCTCACGAGTGATGTTGGAGAGCTGGGCTTCAGCCACGAGGGATTCGGCCTCGGCACGGACAAGCTCTTGCTCCAGAACGACGATGCGGGGAGAGTTGGGGTCCTTGTACTTGAGCTTAGCAATCTCATCGGTGATCTTCTGCTTGCCTATAAGCGTATGCATGTTAGTATTAAAATTCGGTAGCTTGGAACAGAGAGCACATACGGTCGCGGCTGGGCTGAACAGAAGCCTCAATGTTGCGGATGCTCTTGATGGTGACACGGTACTGGTCATAGCGGTCGACGAAGAGATCTTCCAATTCGCCAATCTCGTAGAGCAAGACGCCCAGCTTGTCGGTGACATCGGAAACATCTTCGTCGCAGTTTTCACCCCAGATGGAGAGTTGTTGCTGCCAAGCACCATGAATTAGTTGTCGTACTTCACAAGTAGAAGCCAGTACGCGAACATACAGCAGTTTCCATACGCTCCCTAGAGACCATCTCCATGCTGCGCATGACGTTCTTCTCCATCTTCACCAATTGGGAGAGTTTTCTGGCGAGGTCAGGCCCGAAGGCGCCAGCCGTGTTCTTGCGCAAGGCATGGCCTGGATTGATAAATGTCAGTATAGTCACCATACAAGGCTCAGTCTGTTCTCAGCAAATAGCAGTTGTCCAGACCCCTAGCATAGGGGAGTGACCAGAGCCATTGGCCTCCATCCAGAACAAAGACCCAACCATTCCAGGAGACGACTCACCAAAACCGCCCTTTCCAAAGATTCTGTTTGTCTTGGTGGAAGACAATGGCGGAGGAGGATTCTCAATCTGCGAGGCCGTCGGCAGGCGCGACTGGCGCATAGAATAGGTGCGATGCATGGCGAATTGTCCGAGTGCGAAATGTTAGACACAAGGGATGAAACGAAGGAATAGAGAAGAAAGCCGCCGAGATTGGCTGCGAATCGGACGAGGCGGTAGCTTTCAAGAGATTTCTTTGCGCAGGAGTGACGTGTGTCAGAGGGCGCAACGGGATGCGACGGAAGAGGAATCAAGGCGAGAGGGTGGGCAATGCAACGGGTCCGAGATCGAGACACGAGATGGTCCGCAGTGGAAAGGTGGGTGAGTGGTGATGAAGGTAAGGAACCACGCTTGAGAGCCGATGAAGTAGATGGATCAATGACACTTTCGAATTTCCTTCACTTGAGCCGGGGTGGGAAAGGAGTGGGCTTTTGGGTACTTTTTCCCCTTTGAAGGCTGGGGAGGGAGAGTGGAGCGAGTTGGGCTGGAAATGAAATGCTTTGGTTGCAACTCTAGAGTCTCGTTCGTGACGTCGAGACTAGACCAGCACTAAACCCGATTGAGAGGCTCCAGTATTACAAGGTGAAATCAGGCAGGAATTGGGGTTGATCACGAGCAACGCAAGGCGATTGGCAAATTTCCTTCTGCAATTAACTTCAATCCAGAGGAACCGGAGGAACAGCCTATAGGGAATAAATAAGGGGATTCGCAGGGGAACTGGGATCTACTCTCTCACTGCAAGCTTCATATATAACCATATTTCTCTGGTTTCCCCGGGACCCGCGACGTCATCACAACCCAAAGAATCCGCCCAAAAAAAGCTGATGTCATCGATTCCTGGTCCCTCGATCAGTCCACAGATGAAGCGAAAGTTTGGCCAACTCGTCAATGTCATACAGAGTTTGAGCTATTCTCATAAGGTGTTGGTGTCTGTTTTGTGGCTTGCTAGCTGGGTTTTTCGTTTGTCTCATGCCCGCAATGATTCAATCTAATTGATTTCTTTCTTATTCCAGGTAGATGTCCTCTACAGAGCTTCTCCGGTGGGTGGCTCGAGCAATTCCACCTGAATCCCCCTTTTCGAGACACACGATCGAGATAATCAAGGCGATAGTCCAGACCGCTGCGGGACTATAATTTAGTCTCATATAAACGTACAGATAGTAGGCCCAGATAGTGCCCATCGCCTAGGTGATCGACCGTCTCCGCATTCGGATCGTCCAGGACCAGAACTCCTGGAACTCGGGTCCAGCGGCACTTGCTTAGTGATTCTGCAACATCATGACGAACGGTGGGGTGGCCTTGTTCATCTCCCGTCAACACATGATGTTATGCAGAGTTTTTCCTTCCTTTCGCCTATAACTATCAAGCTCGTGTGGCACAGGCACTTATACCCCTTCCAGATGGGATTCGGCAGTAGCCTACGCTAGGTTTTGTACTCCTTTAACCCTCTGGATCACGAAGTCATATCGTCACCAGGAGTTGCACCCTCATCAACTCTGCCCCACAGGTCCTCGGTCAACCTGCTTTCCCAGTGGTGAAGTTAAGTCTCCTAATCTTTTCAAGCTTGAATATAAGCCTGTGGAGTCCACCTGCTGTCTCAGCATGGACCGCATTTTGTTAGGCTGGTCTTCCTAGCCGTTCCCACTTACCCGGCACCGCAGCTACTTTTGTACAAAACTCTCCCTTTGCACGGCTACTACTGCCCTTGTTTCTTTGTTCGGTGTGATCTTTCCCACACGGCAACAATGAGCGCTGACCTTACCCATCTTGACTGTTATTTCTCCTTGTTTTCTATCCTGTCACACAAGATGCGTAGTAGTATTCGGCAGGAATAATGCAGTCTCGTCCAGATACTTAACCCTCACTCTTGAAAACGTACAGTAATTGGCAGCCAGAGATAGTACAAGCAAAAAAAATCCATCCAAAGAGTGACGATCGATCTAAATCATGTTGAGCCATGGATTGCATACATTGTAGTGTTGACAAGGGGTGAGGTTATAAACATCTTCGGAATCAATTTCAAACAGATGCCATACGAGTATCCTCCATTGACTGAGTTCCCTGTTAATGGAATATGGCTTGTCTGTGGCGTATGATCACTAGCAAATGCAAATCCGTATCCGAATACACGCGCTCAGATTCTGGCATGCTGTGTCACGTGCCATATCAACATCCCACCATCCCATTACGTAAGCATATTTACTGTGGATGGAAATTCTGGAATTTTGAACGATGATCACCATGCGGGGGAAGCCACCATTTGTAGATAATGTGCCTCGAAGAATGCATCCCTCCCTTGAGGTCAGTGGTAGTACCAGATATCAATTACACTCAGCATTGCTGACCGTCTCCAGCACATCGACACTTGCGTCCCCGTAACGGCGCTCAAAGCGCTTGAGTTGAGGGATGTCAAGCTTCTACTTCAAGCCCAAGGCACTTATATCCGACTCATTGACGAAGGGAGCGGAGATCTGCTCGCAGAGCTGAAGGCTTTCAAGCGAAACCATGTGCACGGGTTCGTTGCTCTCAGCCAACAAGAGCAAGTTGCCGGACCCTCACATGCCCGGTTCATCGCCTGGGGAGGACAGTCTGTGAGAGCTTTTGACTTGTTCTTCTCTGCTCAGGAGTCCAGTGCGAGTCTTGTCGCTGCAAGCGCTGAATATCAGGGACCGGATTGGATTCTGGCTGGTTGTGCGTCTAGCCATGAAGAGTCCACGACCGCATACGTATTGACGGCGCACAATGCCGTTCTTGGTCTGCACATCGTAGATGGAGACAGGTCAAAACATGAAAAGGCTGTTCACATAAAACCGCTTGTCACTGGCGTCAACACAATTCTTTACTCTGCAGATATTGTCGCCCTCTCGGAATCTCACATCCTGATCGCCGCAGGAACTGTTTTTGGCGAGATCATAGTCTGGTCTTCCTATCTGAATGAGTCTGGAGGAGCAGTCGGCTCGATTCATCACTTCTTTACGGGCCATGAAGGGTCAATCTTTGGGGTCCGGATATCTCCCTCCATTGCTTCTTTGCGCGGCAATCAGAGCGGACGACTACTGGCTAGTTGTAGTGATGATAGAACGATCAGAATCTGGGACATATCTGATTGCGAGCGTACGTCTCGCCACGATGCGCCGGCATACTCGACCGATGGCTTCGAGCTCCGGAGCACTGGCTTCGGTGCTGTAGCTCACGACAACGAGGTCGGTTCTGAGAAGACTATTGCCAGTGCTTTTGGGCATCTGGCTCGAATCTGGGGCGTCAACTTCCTCACTGTGGGAGAGGGCTTGGGCAAAGTGAATCTCATATCCCGTGGCGAAGATGCGACATGTATACTGTGGGATCTCACTTGGGACCCGTCGACGCAGACGCCTCAGTTCAAGCTGACTGAGGGCATTTCCATCCGCAAACATACTGGAAAGCATGTCTGGTCCTTGGAGGTGCGCAGCACTGATACGGAGGCGGTAATCTATACCGGCGGCGCTGATGGAGCCGTGAAGAACTTTACCATCAAGGCAGATGAGAAGGGATCTCTGGTTCTACCCAACTTACACAATCGCATCACGATGACAGTTGATACTCAAAACCAAGAACCCCATGTGGAGACGTCTATCAAAGGCTTTGACTTTGTCTCGCAGAACGAGTTTGTTGCTGTGACGGCCCGTGGCGAAGTTCAGGTTGGCCATATCAAGGGCCAAAAATTCTCTAACCAGCATATCTTCAAGGAAACAATCTTCGTCGAAGATGACCTGCGGTCTTATTCTGTTGTTGGCAGCCTGCCGCAGGAAGGCATTGCCCTTGTGGGTAACGCAAGAGGTTTGATTCGGCTTTACAATAATAATGTCAAGTCCCTCATAAGGCTTGTCGAAGTCGGCCAAAGACCTTTGATTTTGATCCTCCTCGACTACAAGCAGATTTCAGGATCAGAAGCAAACCTGGTATTCACGGTGTCTTATCCAAACTCCGAGACAGCAGAGCTTTTCATGGTATCGTTGTCAGGTGATGAACCGTCCGTGGACAAAATCACTATAAATCTCCCGTACGGCTTCGGAATGGCATCTGCATCCCTAGTATGTGGTAAGCAGTACCTGGCACTGGGCTCCCTCACTGGCAACTTCGCTCTGTATAGGGTGGCAAAGACCGAGAGTATCGAACCTGTCATGCCCCCAAGCAAGCTACATGGTCGTGAAGGACTCAGTTACATCACGTCATTCTCGTCGCTATACGGTGAGGAAGAACAGCTGCATCCGTACTTTCTGACCTGTGGACGGAGTGGAACCTATGGCGTGCACAGGTTGGTTATCTCGGAGGGCCCGGAGCCTTCCATCTCTCTCCAAACTTTGCATCTGGCCTCTTTGGCTTTCAACTGCGAAATCCAGGGAGCTTATATTGATAAGGTATCTCAAGATCTTATGATCTACGGATTCCAACCCATGGACTTTGTGCTTTGGAATGAATCTGCGCAGACAGAGGTCGCTAGACACAAGTGTAACGGCGGCAGACGCGCCTGGGCTTTCCAACCTAACAACACAAAAGCTTGGGCTGGGTCGCTCCTATGGATCCAATCTGGTTTTAGTGGCATGGAGATACAGCCGGACGCCAGCCGGACCTTGCGTTCCGGCAGCCACGGAAGAGAGGTGAAGGCCATGTGTGCGACTCAGCAGGGTGGACTGGGTCCATTGTTCGCGACGGGTTCGGAAGATACAAATGTGCGTATCTTTACACCCCGCGATACACAGTCCGAGAACCGCTGGGGCGCGTTCAAATGTCTACGGCTCCTGCGAGAGCACCACACAGGTCTTCAGAGTGTGGGGTGGTCCACGGACGGACGGTTCCTCTTCACAAGCGGTGGTTACGAGCAGTTCTTCGTTTGGCGGACACACTCTATCCCTCAGTTTGGACTTGGGACAACATTGGATGGAGAATGTCCAAAGAGCGATCCCAACTCGGATCTTCGGACAACGAGCTTCGACGTATTGGAGGTGGAGGGAGAGCAGGCAGAGGCATCATTCCTAATCTGTCTGACTTATTCCAACTCTACCATCAAGGTAAGCAGCCCACGCAATCCTCTTGGGTCCCTGCTAACTGTGTAGATCTTCCATTACACCTCGTCGGCCGAAGGAGGCAGTTTTACCTTGCTGGCGAACGGCACCTACATGAGCAACTGCCTGACGCAAGCAAACTTCATGCTCAAGGGCTCGTCACTCAGCCTGATCACGGCCTCCACAGACGGCTACTTTACACTATGGGACCTGACCTCTGTCCTGGAGCCCTTCTACACGATAACATCACCTCTGCGCTTGAAGCAGACCATTCACGGAGCATCCATCAACCCATCAACCATTTCTTGCGAGAATCGCTACCAGATCCACTGGAACAGCATCAAGAGCCTTGAGCTGGCCGATCTATCAGACACCTTGTCCTTGATTGTCGCAGCTGGCGACGACAACTCGATGACAGTCACTCTTCTGGACACGGGCATCGAGAACGGCGAGGCTACATGTACCATCGCAGTCCCCGACGCCCATGCAGCCTGCATAACGACGACGAAGATCCTCACGCAGCACGTGAACCCCAGCGACGGGACTGCCCGATTCGCCGTCGCATCTTCCGGTAACGACCACCAAGTCAAGATTTGGTGGATCGACATCGACATGAAGATGACCGGGCCGGAGCGGATCCAGATCAGCAAGGCAGCGGAGCGATACAGTTCTGTGGCGGACATTTCGTCGTTGGATATCCTCCACGACGCATCGGGGAGCCACTTGGTGGTGTGTGGTACTGGCATGGAGATGTTGCGGTTGCAGTTGTAGCTACGTTAGGATGATTTGCATACATACTTGATTTTCCAGGAGGGTCGATAGCCTACCCTTTCTATTCCAGTGCTCATCCTTCGCTGCTTTTTACTCACCGAGTAGATTTGAGCACGTCCAGAATAAGTTCTAAGCAGCCTAACGAGGCAACTACATGCTCGAAATGCGTAGACACGACTGATAACGTGCCTTCAGTATATTTTCACTACTATTTGTACAAGAGCAGTTCAAAGACCGAATAGGTAAGCGGAAAGAAGGCTTAAAATCCAGCCGTCGCTAAGAAATGAAACTTCTTCCGCGGTGTCACAGACCTTATCATGTTCATCGAGTCGGCGACTTTCTCGTCCGTGGACTCCACCAGTCCCTCCACAAGGACGATATTCTGAGTTGCCGCGGGCTCTCCAGATGCGTAGCCCTGTATTCGCCTCGTGACCAGGGTTTAGGCCCTAGGATCTGCCGACATAAAGGGCAGCTGTTACTTTTGCTGGTTACGCTGGCGCGATTTACCCAGATGGCTATGCAGGGCGAGTGGAAATAATGACCACATACTAGTTGGCGATACGGAGTATCTGGCCCGAGGTCTTCGAAGCAGAAGAGACACGTTTCGGGGAGGGGAACTGGGTTTAGTCAGACAATGACGGGTGATAGGTAAGTTAGGGAGAAGGATGGTGTGGGAGATACAAGTTATTGCAGGGTGCATTGATTCCTCATGGTGGGCTCCATTCGCTGCGGCCATGTCTAGATATCGCTTGCTTCAACGCCCAATCTATTGTTAGGTTGATAGGAATGATGTCGTTAAATAATAGAAGCGGATGCAGATCGTTTGCATTGACTGCTGGCGTGGTGCGAGGGATTTATACTTGGCGTCACCGATCAGACAACAGGCCGTCAACCCATAATAAGGTTCCCATTCTTGCCGCCTGGTCTGGCTCTCTTCACTGCCTGTATGTTTTCCCTCAATGTGCCCATAGAAAAATTTTGTACGGAAGCCGTATCAGTTATGTTCGCCGAAAGGTTTATTGAGACATAACATTGTCAATGACGACCAGAACGGGAAGAAAAGAAGGCTACGATAAGCTTCGTACTGATCTAAAGGCGATTAAAACCACATGGTAGCAACGGCGAAAAGGCAGATTTACCCCTCTGTGGTGATTGACTTTGATTATATCGTATATATACGTTCTTCCTTAATTAACTTGGCTCTTGTCTCTAGAGCCGGTATCAGGAATATCCACCGCTTGTTGCGGTCCAGTAGTTAAAACTTTCAGAGGCCAAACACATTCTCGTCGCGCACATATCCCCAATCTGTCACTTGTCAGTAAAGCATTTAGGTGCCAAAGAAAGACGGGAATTACCATCAAGGGCAGGCAACACTGCCTTTCCAATCATCGTCGGGGGACCGCACAGAATGGCCACATTTTCATCAGAAGGTTCAAAGATGTGCTCCCGAAGGATACTCTCGTTGACGTGTCCTGAAAGTCCATGCCAATTTTCGTCTGGTTTTGAGATAACGTGAGTTATCTCCAGCTGGCTGGCACTGTCTTTTACGAATTTATCCAGTTGGTCGCGTAAGAGAATATCGCTTGTTGTCTTGTTCGCATCGATGACGCGAATCTTGGTCTTGTCTCCGTCTGTGAGAAGTATACGGGCTATCAGGGCATATGCTGGGGTGATGCCACTGCCTCCAATCACTAGCGATACCCGTTTGAATTTTTTCTTCTCTCCTGCGATGGTGAAGTTGCCGTATCCTTCATAAACAAGATCCCCCGTCGGACCTCGGATGTCAACCTCTTCTCCCAACGGTAGACAGTCTAAAACGTTCGACATCGCACCTCCTGGTTGGTCATCATTGGGGAAATAAGTCTTGATGGTCAATGTGAAAGCCCCCTTGCCGTCTCGAACTTGACTAACGAAATGAGACTTTCCGTTTTCCTGGTAGCCGTTTGAAGACGACGATGCGGGAGGGAGAAGCGGCTGAGTTGGCGTATATGGTCGTATGAGCATTCGGTCCTTCATGTGAAAGGCTACTTCGATGTGCTGGCAAGCACCAATGCCTAGAGTAGGTTTCCCCTCGGGCAACTTAAACGTATATTCGTGGGTGTCTCTGCTGATGGCTTTGCGGTCGAGCAATTTGACAGGGATCCACCGATGTCTCTGCAGTGCCTGATCATTAGGCTGCGCAGTTTGCTGTTTTTCCTTCTTGGCTTGCTCTGCATTCTTCTCGATGTACTTCATCGCCTTTTCTGTCACCACGCCCAGAATGCACTCTATAGTTATATTAGTCACTGGCCTCCAGAAACCACTGTATAAAGGTCTTACCTTGGAGCTTCTCTGCAGCGTAGTCATCATGTATGCTTGCATACTCTTCAGTGGTCTCATAGTGAACTTTGCCTGCATGTGCAAGGATGGGTGCTTTCCCGCCTGGATGCCAGGACAAAACCCCCGTTGCGTCATAAACTTTGCCGTCTACGACGATCCAGCAATCATCTTCACTGTGGTGCTTTTCGATTTCCTCCCGCGTAAACTGCTTTTGCGGGGCAGCCACGCTCTGTTTGGCTGCCTGTACCTGCACATCAACACTGGGCTTCATCCAGCCCCCTTCCCCTGTGCCTGGCTCCACAGGGTGACGGAATAGAAGGGATGCTGCGCCTGATTGATTATCGCCGTCATCATAAATCAATTCCGGCTTTACCACATAGCGGCAGCTATTCAAAGTTCCTGAAATATTCCACCGCGGCTGCTCCGGCTGTGTATTATGCGCCCCATCGACGCATGCAACGGTGATGCTCTCCGCTTGTGCTAGCTGGAGGATTTCGACATCAACGTGCCAATGTACCCAAGCCCAGAATTTATTACCGTGACGTATAGGACGGTCGGGGAATTCGCGGATGCAGTAGAGCCAGCTCTTACCATTATTTAGAGATATCTCAACTCGACGGACCGGATGGCCACTGCCGCTGTAGGCGAATCCTGCAATGCGGTACGTCTTCCCTTTCCGAGCATCACTTACTGAGATCTTCTCCCCTTGAGCGGGCCTAGCAATAACTGAGTTAAGGGTCTGTTCATAGCAGGCAGTATCCGGGTGAGTGAAAAACAACTTGGCGAGTTGGCTTTCTGTATCAGTGACAGAACTAGGCAACATCCGGTTGTCGTGGAGATGATAGTATGAGTTGTTTTCTTTATTACTAGTCCAGATCTTGCTCAGCCATTTCACACAGCGTCCTCCTACATAACCTGGGATCATAACGCGGACTGGATACCCATGGTCAGGTGGCAGGGGACGATCATTCATTTCATATGCAAGAATCACATCATTTCTAGGGTCCATGACATGGTCGAATGGAATGGATGTAGCATATTCTGCTTCGTTTGGCTCATCGGCTCCTTCAAAATGAATCCAATACCGTTGATTATCCTGGTCAGGCATTCGCTCGGGCACCCCAGCAGCGAGGAGAACATCCCGGAGCAGTGGGCCTTTCCAGTAGGCACAGCTCACCCCCCCAGGGCCCCAGTTGAACCCTGTTGTACGCTTGATCATGTTCAATTCTTTCCGCCGAGTGTTATCACAGGCCAGAAGGATGGGGATATTGATAGCTTTGAAGTTCTTCGTCAACTCATCCATGCCAAGCTTCACCCGGCCGCCTTCTATGTCGATTTCATGAAATTCCCAGACCAATTTTGGCACTGGGCCGTGGTTCCGCACATAATGCAGCTCATTTGGGGTTATGAGACCGGCGTTAAAGAGCTTTGACAGTTGCGGCTCGGCGTTCAGTGGCAGCTTTCCAGTCAGCCGGACGAGGTCAGGAGATCGAGGCACCCAGTTATCCGCAGTAAACTGATCTGCTTCGTCAATGGTGATATACGGGTTCTCGGGCGCTGATGATCTTCCTTGCCCGTTATTCTGCTTTAGGTTTTTTATAACCGCCTCCTCGTGCCGGACTGCTCGGAGGAGTGAGATCTCCTCTAGGCTAAGTTCGTTTTCGGATTTCTCTTCGCTTTCGTCCCTATCGGCCACTGGCTTTTCAGTCTCCTGCTCCGGCGTCGGTTTCTGAGTATCTTTTTCTTCATTTTTTCCTTCGTCATGCTGCTCCTCTTGATTCACTTGTTTGTCCTCGTCGTCCTTTCTCCCCTCCTGCTCCGTCTTCTGTTGCTCTTCCCTCGGACTTTCTTCTTCTTCCTGCCTCCGACGAACATTCGTCGGCCACTCCTGGCCCAATTTAACCCATTCCTCAGTATATTCGGGCACATATCGCCATCCGAAAGGTCGTTTCTCGGGATGCCGAAGATGAAATGCCTACGCATTAGCCCTTAGTATAACATGACACTATCAAGAATGCAGCTCGCTCAATGGCGCTTGCTATTTTTTCATACAAGAAACACACATACCTCCCTATTTTTCTGGTCCTCGATCAGATCACGAAAATTGACAAGCTTCCCCTTCTCGACTTTTCGTTTGAGGTCGCCGATCTGCTCGCGAGCCTCCCGAACCTCCTCCGGGTTTTCCGCCAGTTCATCGCCAATGTGGGTTATCCCTGCATATCTGCCGCTGGCGTTACGATAACCCAGTCGGTGTTCACGAGAATGAAGCTCCCAGTCCGGTTCATTCTCGATCTCCGCCCGTGATGAGCCGGGGTGCTGGGCCACTTGGTAAACTTGCGTATTGCCGGGCATGGTCTCACTGCTGCTTCAAAAGCGGCAACACTATTACTTGGTTTGGTACCCGATAAACTCCAGCTGCAATTGCTGGGCCTTCGAGGCAAACGAGGGAGGTTTATGCAAAAGGGTCGAAACATGGCTTTCAGCTTTGGTCAATGTTTGGGTCCTACCGTGCTGAGGCCTTGTGATTCAAGAATGATTCGATACAATAACATCTCCGCGGAGATCTGTGATATCCTCGGTGGAAGATATGACGCACAAACACCTATGACATTAGCCCCCTGATGGCGAAAAGCCCTCGGTGACTTGGTCAATTTCAAAACTTTAAATCAGGTTTCTTTTCCCCACTGGCCAATATTGAACCTAGGATTGCACCGCGCAGAAGCATACATCATATTAACTACCTAGAGATACTATTCGCCTATGATATCCATTCCATTACATAACCCAGCTGGCATGGCACCATCAAAATACCACAGGAAGTCGTAGAACCCCAACATTTTGCGTTGGCGAAGTATATTCCAGTTCAGAGGGCTCAATCGCCAGCCGTAGGTTCGGAAGCTTGCGGAATAGGGAGCCTGTTGCAGGCAAAACACCACTTAGCCTTACAACACAATTGCCGACGCACAGCAAGAAAACAGGAATAATTATCTTACTGAAGATGGCCTGCAACTCCAGCCGGGAGAGCCACTGCCCCTGACATTTATGCGGGCCATGCCCGAATGCCAGGTTTTGATGCGGGTCAACTTGACGGTGGATGCTGAACTTGTCTGCATCTGGGTACACCCTTTCATCGCGGTTGGCGGATCGCACGGAGCCGATGACCCCGGAACCCGATTTGATTTTCTAATAACTGTCAGAAGATCAAGTAATGAATAACGGGTCCTGGTCATTACCTTCCCACCAAGCGTGAGATCAGTTGTTGTGACACGTCTGCTATTTAAAGCAGATGGAGTATGATATCTCAAGATCTCCTCAACAACTCGCCCCGCTAATTCAGGATTCTCCTTGAGCTCCTCGAGCTGATCCTGGTGTTGAAGCAAAGTAATAACGCCCAGGACAATGGAACTTTGAATCGCCGAATTCCCAGCCACGAAGATCATATAGACAAGATTGATAAGGTCGTCTCGGTCGAGGTTCGCTTGTCTATACTCGTCCACCACGAGCTTGCTAAGCAGGTCATCCTGTGGCCTGCCAGGTTTCTCTATTCGCGCATCAATCAATTGGCTAATGTATTCGTGCAAGTCTGTATGGCCAGACTCAGACGCCGATCCGCTTGTGCCTCCGAGCGCGGAGCTCGACTGGATAAGCTCATTGGCCTCCTTTTCGGAGACTTTCAGAATGGACAGTAAGATAACCTTTGGGTTAACTACTGTGGCAAGCTCTTTGACGAGGTCGATAGGGCCATTGTTACAGCCTCGTTCTTTGATCGAGTCGATCAACGAGTCCACGACTTCCTGAACCTGTGGTTTGACTGCTTCAGTCGCTTCCGGGGTGAAAAAGCTCTCCGTCATAGCTCTAGAATAGTTCTTAGACCGTTATTATTCGTGACACTGAGAAGCGTCTTTCATACCTGTGCCTCGCGTGTTTCGGATCATCCATGTGGACGAACGTTGGCCTGACCCCGTCTTTCTTCGTACCACTATGAATCTCGGGGTATCCATCACGATTGTATCGGTCCTGCTCAGCTGGTTAGGCTGAAGGTTCAATGATTCTTAACGCAGCAGGGAAGGGATGGAAAAGCATTTACATTGGAGAATTTATCACTGCTCAACATCTCACGAACCTCTTTGTCCCTAGTAACGATCCACGCTGGTCTCCCATCGAAAAGCTGGACCCTTTCAGTGGGACCCCGATGCCTAAGCTCTGCTAATTCAGCAGGCGGATCATATGATTTTGGAGGACGAGCAAAGGGATACATCGGTAAGTCTTCGGGGGAATTGTAAGCTTGCGATGGTTTGGGGGACAGCATAACCACCATAGGGCCTAGGCTTACCGGAAGTGTTGGCTTGGGACATTTCGGAAGATTGTACAATGGTACGTGTGAATATTCCAGCTCTCGTAATGGTGCAGAGGTTGAGAATCGCTTGGTTGCTTTCAGAGAGAGTCGCAAGATCTATATAAGCAATACTTTCTGGAGCCAGAATAGTCGAGGCGGAGTCGATGATCTCACAGGGGCAAACCACTATTACATTACGTCCCAATCGGCGAGGCTGTCTTTTCCGTGCTAAACACGGCCGGCAAATAACAGTCAGTACAAATTATACGTGAACGATGATAAAGCAAATGTCATAACACGCAATATGGTTGAAACAAGGAACCATGGCTACTCAAACTGAAAAGCAACCCCAGAAATCAAGGCAGAGGCCATGGTAGCACATGGGTTGTCATAAATGCATCAGCAATAAACCAGCATTATAAGGGCGAAAGTCATGCACGGTGATGTTATAGTATCAGAAGCTTTGCTCCATTTATACAGTATCAAAGTGATTGTGATGCCGGATGTGACGTATTCGAGCAGCTAAGAAATGCCGTCAACCTTCTGGGGGCAAACTCAAGTCGCTGTCTTCGCGTCGAGTCCGAAGCCTATTGCCGCGGCATTCTCGTTATGTACAGATGCTGTTGGAAGTCCGCCATAGACCATAATACCCCAGCTGCGGATGGCGTACAGCCGCCTGAAGTCATTAATCTGTAACAGTCTGTTGCAGTATTTTCGAATGTATCCCTGTTCAACACGACTCTGTGAAGAAGTCATCCTCAAAATCAAGAAACAGATGGTGACTGGGCCTTGATTGGCGATTGTGAACTGGCACTGAGAACGCAGATGTGGCAATATCCTCTTAGCATACAGTAGAACACAGAGCATCGTTTATATGCCAGCACAGAAGCATTGTATAGTAGATGGTACCAGAACGTTTCTGGAGGGATGCCTCACATGTATTGAAGTATCTACCGATAAAACAGACATTATGTGCAGCTTCGATCCCCCAGCTAATTGCTGCTCATTTGACAGTTAGCCGATGTAGTTGTCTCCGGTGTAGTTCACCATCTGTCACTTACTGTGATCTGAATGTTCCTGCAATCCGCTGGTCGAAGGAAAGAACGGATACAACACCGAGTGCCCGCCATCATGAATCTAAGATGAGGTAGTACTACTGGTTCTTTGGTACATGGCCAATCACACAGGGCCAAACCGTAGCCTTTCTCGAGAATATTGCTGTCTGGGGATGTTTAGACAGCTGTGGGGGGGTTGTCCTGGTCCTCCACCAAGCTGACTACTCGGAGATGAGAGTAGCTTACTTGTGTGTACTACCTGCCAGCCCAATCATACAAGCCCCCATGTTCTTTGAGTGCGTCCACGCTATCATCCAGGGACTAAGCAAGCCACCCGGAGCCACCCCGAGACACCCCGTAGCCAAAACGGAATAGTCTGATCGACCAATGCTTGATCGATACCTTCACGATGTTCTTCTCGCTCCGATTTGCCATGTGCAGGATACAAGCAAGCAAGCATTGCACGATTGCTACCCCGCAACACCAGGGATGTGAGGACGGGGAAATCTCATTCCATCAACCGCAATTCAGGTTTGATCGCATGTCGGCTAAATGGAGTTCACCACATTTATTAAAATCTATTTTACTTCAAGAGTGATTTGCATTTAGGTTTAGAATGGGTGTGAACATACCCCTCTTTTAGTAGTGATATATATAGCGTCCTTAGGGGATCAGCACGGCTTGGTGCTTGAGAGATCTCTACATAGCTAGAAATTTCATTGAACTTACACTTCATACTGCAATCACAGCAATAGACCAACCATGAAACTCCAATCCTCCTGGCTCCTCGCCAGCATAACCATGACTGGTATCCCCACAGTCACAGCCAGACCATGGACCCAAAGACCAAGAGCAGAAAACTCAACCACGAATCCCACCTACTTCTTCACTTTGTATGTCCCCATTCCACCACCCTAATCTCCCCACAAATACAGTACTAAAGAATAAATCAGCGGAGACTCCTACTCCCAAACCGGCTTCAGCGCCTCGGGCACCCAACCATCCGCCTCCAATCCCATGGGCAATCCAGACCTAGGTGTGTCCCCCCACCCCCCAATTCCCCTCCCCCCAACCCACATAACTAATAATATCGATGATGAAGGAATCGGCACCACAACCAACGGCCCCAACTGGATCGGCTACCTAACCACAACTGAAAACGCCTCCTTAGTGCTTTCCTACAACCTCGCCGCGGGCGGTGCCACAATCGACAATGCTCTGGTTCCTGCATACCCGGGTGACCTTGCATCTCAGTTCCGGCTATTCGAGGATGTATATGCTGCTAAGCCGGCCTCGGCGCCGTGGAGTGCAGAGGATGCGGTGTTCGGGGTGTGGATTGGGATTAATGAGTATATTCCTTCCTCCTCTTCTTCTTCATTCCCCGGATTGTCCATATATGGGAGGGCGGTTCAGTAGGTGTATATGCTAATGGGATATGTGTGTTCTGGGGGAGTATAGTATAGGAAACGCGTATTACTCTACGGATGCGGAGACGTACACACCCAAGTTAATCTCCAGATTGGAGAGTCTAGTGGAAGAGGTATACAAGAACGGAGGCAGGAAATTCCTGTTCCTGAATGTGCCGCCGACGAGTCGCAGTCCGTTGTTTCTGGAGCAGGGAGAGGAGGTGGTGAAGCAGCATGCAGAATATTTGAGTGTTTATAATGAGAATTTGGAGGGAATGGTGGATGATTTTACTAAGAAGAAGGGAGATGTAAGTTTTTCTTTATCTTCTTTTTTTCTTGTTCTCTTAATTTTTTCTGGTCATGGGTTACTTGTGTGTTTATGTGGGTGGGCTTGAGGGCAAGCTAATCGATGATTGGGACAGGTAACGACTGTCTTGTATGACTCGTGGTCATTCATGACGAAGATCCTGGATGATCCGACGGCGTATGGATTCCCCGATGCGACGTGTATCAATGATGATGGGACGTCGTGTATCTGGTGGAATAATTATCATCCCGGGATGAAGTATCATCTTTTGCAGGCGGAGGATATGAAGCCGAAGTTGAGGAAGTTGGGAGGATGGTAGTTACTTTACTTAGTAGTACTAGTAAATATGATATTGGGAGAATATTATGTGACGTTTAGGATGGCTTATATATTACTAGTATGTCACTAAATCTGAATGTTGATGCATCAGGTATATATATTTATGTTAAGTACTGCCCTACGGGTATTTTGGCTGAATTGCATCATAACTATTAGCATCTCACTGACATGAAAGCTCCACCTATGCACTAATTCCGTATTCTTCTTATATGTAAATCCTTCTTGTCCCGTCACGGACCTCATTTCCGCATCACTTTCATGACCCTGACCCTGCCAAGGCGGATCATTGACCGAGTTTAGTCCCTGTCTTCGACTTTATCCGCCCTGTAGGCATTAATGATACCTGCAGGTGTGAAGATCTGCAACGTCTTCTGTCTGAATACCTGTTTATTCTCTACATTCGGATGTTTCGCTTTAATGGACCGAAGGATGTAGATTTCTGGCTAAGTTAGGTTACCTCCGTGCTGGATTAGGATAGTTGGGAGGAGGGGAAGATATAAAGGTTGCTTATTGTCTTGCCCTAGATAGTGACAGTAACTGTAGCCTTCGTTGATCGAGCAGTCGCCGCGATGAAGTTTCAGAGCACTTTGCTTCTTGCCGCCGCGGCTGGTTCCGCGTTGGCCGTGCCTCATGGCTCTGGACATAAGAAGAGGGCGTCTGTGTTTGAATGTAAGGGCTCATTTGCCTCATTGTTGCTAAGCTGACGAAAAAGGGTTCGGATCGAACGAGTCTGGTGCTGAATTTGGGACCAATATCCCAGGCGTCTGGGTAAGTATCCCCGCCAAAGTGTAGGCGTATGCTGATGTCGCAGGGAACCGACTACATCTTCCCCGACCCCTCGACCATCTCTACGTTGATTGGCAAGGGAATGAACTTCTTCCGCGTCCAGTTCATGATGGAGAGGTTGCTTCCTGACTCGATGACTGGTTCATACGACGAGGAGTATCTGGCCAACTTGACGACCGTAAGATGACTCCCACTTGGTGTTGACTTAATGCTGACGAGTCAGGTGGTGAAAGCGGTCACGGATGGAGGCGCGCATGCGCTCATCGACCCTCATAACTATGGCAGATAGTAAGTATGCAGTACCAGAGTGTGACACTCGCTAACCAAACAGCAATGGCGAGATCATCTCCAGTACATCGGATTTCCAGACTTTCTGGCAGAATCTGGCGGGCCAATACAAAGATAACGACCTGGTCATGTTTGATACCAGTGAGTACCCACCAGACCATCAAGGACCGTGCTGACTGACAATGCAGACAACGAATACTACGACATGGACCAGGATCTCGTGCTGAACCTCAACCAAGCAGCCATTAATGGCATCCGCGCTGCAGGTGCAAGCCAGTACATTTTCGTCGAAGGCAACTCCTGGACCGGAGCCTGGACATGGGTCGATGTCAACGACAATATGAAGAACTTGACCGACCCAGAAGACAAGATCGTCTATGAAATGCACCAGTACCTAGACTCCGACGGTTCCGGCACTTCGGAGACCTGTGTCTCCGGGACAATCGGAAAGGAGCGGATCACTGATGCTACACAGTGGCTCAAGGACAATAAGAAGGTCGGCTTCATCGGTGAATATGCCGGGGGGTCCAATGATGTGTGTCGGAGTGCCGTGTCCGGGATGCTAGAGTACATGGCGAACAACACCGACGTATGGAAGGGTGCGTCGTGGTGGGCAGCCGGGCCATGGTGGGGAGACTACATTTTCAGCCTGGAGCCCCCAGATGGAACTGCTTACACGGGTATGCTGGATATCCTGGAGACGTATCTCTGAGAACAGGGTGGGGTCGCAGATGCGGTGCGTCGGAGAACTATACGGAGTTTCTTATCAGAGTGGACGGTGGTGGTACAGAGAGGCGTACTAGAATGAAATAGTGGCAGCGCACTGGCTGACGTCACAAGACATTGCTTTTTTTGTGAAGCTCCATCTTTGTGCATTCTGTTGAGTGCTACCTGTAGGCACGTCTGTCGCTGAAATAGTTGCACGTTGTACTCCGTAACGGGCACTTGGTGGATTCTTATCAACGATCATCGAGTATAGCCCAACGAATTGCGTGGGATGTAGAGATCTGACGACCCACTGGTCGTAGGATATACTTAGCTCTCCTCATCAGCCTTATCGGATAAATCATGTTTGTGAACACCGCGATGTCGTTGAATGCACGAGAAAGCAGAGAATGCAGGTATGGATGCAGTGATGGGATGGACAAGGCCGATGGAGGAACCATGGATGGAAGACGGGCCCGCCAAGACGCTCAACGTAAGCCCGGGTTAATAGTCTGGTCGATCGGGGAGTCAATCCCGGCACTTTTCCCGTCTGCCGCGACGGTTGGGAATTTGAAACAGCAGATTTGCTTCTTTTCATAGGTGGTAATGAGGTCATGACTTGACTAGTTGGTTTGATTACGCCAGTTGCCTTGCTAAGAATACTCCGTGGTGATGATCCATCAATCACTGTCTACATTATTCACTGGGCACTTCATCGGACTGTCCCTGAGGCGGTACCATGGGACGGACAAGCAGGGAATACGGCGACGCAGAAGAAACTTCCGGGGATGTCGTGCATACCAATAAAAGTATCAATATTGACCGCGTATTGCCAAGCTCAGAATGATGAAGCCTAGTCAGTTGAGGTTCCGTGGTTGGTGGGCTGAGGGTGAGACACACTCATCCAGAGATCCAGGCTCACAGGAAATCTTGGGATGGTTAAGCAGATTCCCGATGGTGACGATCGCTACACAGTACGGTGGCTCTTTGGTCCACCGTGTATCAGATAGGTTGATTTAAGTGATACGATCCAGCTTGACCCGGTCGACATAGATTGCGCAGGACTACTCAGTAAATAGAGAGAATTCCAGTGTGTATAACTTGCTAAAATTGAATACATCAACCGACACCCTGCATACTTTGGAGAACATTGGGAAACAAGGTTACTACTAGTCTACTACACTATAATAATGAGGAAGAGGACGCGTATTACCCCAGCCACTTCTGACGTGGCGGTAGGGCTGGTGAGTCTCCGCCACGAGGGTCACCTTTCCTCGATGGGGATTAGTCCCTTGCAGTGTGGTGTGCAATGTCAACAGAATCGACAGATAATTTCTATCTGATTATTCCTGGTTATTACTCGGCCAGGGCCCTTAAGGGCTCCACCATCAACCGTGCTGGATCCCGCGTTTGGGTTGCGGTGGAAACTCGCTCGAATTTATTATAGAAACAAGCGTGGCGTAGTCCGTCATGCGTCCCCGTGATTGGCCCGCTGATCAACCAAACTCTCTCGCATTTGACTGCGCCTCCCCAATAACTAAATTCAAAAGCAGTAATAACAATCCGGTTGACGGGAATCTCTTGTTGATCCCCCCCCAGCAAGCCTCTTTTATAAAATCATCCTGTCCCAGCCTTCTCTTCATCTCTTTTCATCTCACACATTTTTCAACCACCCTTCACCCAGATACACACGTTCAGTGTCCTACTTCTATCTACTTAACCACCTGTCCGGACCTGAAATCAAATCTGACTCCCCCCGATAAGCAAGGGAAAAAAATAACAACCCGCATACATCCCCACGTCACCGTCCACATCAACCGTCACCATGGGTAAAGGCGGTCGCATTGTCTGCATCTTCACTCCATATGTCCTCACCATCGCCTCCTTAATATGCATCATCATGGTGGGCCTGGGCTGCACAAAATCCAGCTCCAGCACACTAAATGATCTCTACTTCTTCAGAGTATGTCTTGCTTACCTTTCACGCATCCCCACTCAAATGTCCGATCGTACTGACTCCACTCCAGGCCAACCTCAAGAACATTACCTCCGAAGCCTCCTCCACCGCATCAACAGTATCCTCCGTCGTGAGCGACCTGACCGGTGTTTCGGATGGCGATCTTTCCGCTGCGCTCGAGGAAATCGAAGAACAATACAACATCGAGGACTTCTATGCCATTGGTCTCTGGGGCTACTGTGAAGGAAACATCACCTCCAACAACAGCTATCAAACCAACAACTGCTCCAAGCCCGAGGCCGAGTTCTGGTTCAACCCTCTGGAGGTCTGGAACTTGGAAGAAAGTGGCCTGGAGAATGCCCTTCCCAGCAAAGTCAAGAGCTCCCTGAACACCTACAAGGCCGTTTCCAAATGGATGTTCATCGCCTACATCATTGCATTTGCTCTTACGGTCGCTGAACTGGTCGTCGGTGTCTTCGCTATCTGCAGTCGCTGGGGTAGCTGCGTGACCAGCTTGGTGTCTGCTGTAGCCTTCTTCTTCACCGCTGCCGCTTCCGTCACTTCTACCGCCATGTTCGCCGTCCTCAAGGGCGTCTTCAAATCCGAACTCGAGCAATACGGCATCAAGGGCCAAATGGGCAAGAACATCTACGTTGCTACCTGGCTCGCGGTCGCCTTCTCCCTCGCAGCCACTCTCTTCTGGATCATCAGCTCCTGCTGTTGCTCCGGTCGCTCCCCTTACAACCACCGCAACCGCAACCGCGCCGTCATGGCCGAGAAGACCCCCTACACCTACGAGGCTCTGGGTCCCTATGGCCAGCCCCAGCAGACCCCCTACAACACCTCCTACCCTCCCCCGCCTCCTATCCACGGCAACCAGACCACGGGTCGGACGAACGCCTATGAACCCTTCCGTCATACTTAAATGATGAAATACACCCCAACATCAACCACAAAAATACTAAACTTCCTGAATGAAAACGGAAGGAATTGACCACTGTTCATACTGGCGTTCGGGTTTGGGTTGGTTTAGGTCATGACAACAACCTGATGATGACATATTTTTTATTATTTCTGTGTATTTTGTTCTGAGCCAAGGGAAGGCAGGAAAGCTAGTGTGCATACCCGTGATACCCCGAGTATGGAGGGTTGGAACTTGGAATATAGAAGAGCCCTTGGTCCAGCCTGATTCATTCAGTGCTGCGACTCTTGGCATGATGAATTAATGCTAGTTGCATCTATATTTATTGTATATGAATCGATAACTATCTACCTTCACTCATCTTTCTATGATTCTAGTACTACATGGTCCAGTAAGTGTTCCGCGGAGGATAGACTTCAAACTTTACATTATGGCCTGCGTGTTTAACAATATTTATTCATGGTGGTGCCGATTAAGGGAAAAACTAATGAACAGCTAAGTAGGGAGGGACGCACGTCAATATCTGGAGAAATAAGATGCTTACCTACCACATCAGCAAGGCCTTTGTCACTTGGTGAGGTGAACAATACTTCCTAGACGGGAAGTGGACAATGGAGCTAGAAGATCAGGTGATATTGCCCCATTTGTAGTTAGTACTAGTCACCCATCGCAGTATATAGAGGCTCTTGTTTCCCGAATCCTATTACCCTCTTTCCACTGGTCAGAAAGATTACATATAATTTCTTATCAACAGTTCGATTAATATTCCCTACGGAAGGAGCACTACAACGCTGGCTTGGATATCATAATACATCTGAATCACAGCCTCCTCATGTCTTGACTTGATAAAATAGTAAGTAGGCGATAGAATATAGCAATGAGTATAATAATACAAACTGGAAAGTAAACAATGTCATGTTAAGAATACAAGTGGAAAGGGGTATACGAAGAATAATATCCCAGAAGATAAATGAATAGAAACATAAATATGAATAGGAAAGCCCTCATCGACGATAGCCAGGACGTTGTATCACGCCCTTCTCATCAACAGGCAGGTATGCGCCTCCTCGTCGGTTACGTTCAGAGAGAACGGCCTGGTCCGCTCGTGCCCATTGCTTGAAGGGCGTGTTGGGGTCGTCGGACCAGACAGGGCCTTTGGGACGGATGTGTCGAAGGGACACGAACCAGTTCTCGTTGACACTTTCCGCGTCGGATTCGGGCTCAAGGTCAGAAAGCTCCTGCTGCTGCTGGGCCGCATCTTGGGTCTCTGCGCCGAGCTCAATGCTGGCTGTCTCGTGCGTCTCGTCAATCATTTCCTCGTCTTCGTCTTCGTCTTCGTCTTCTTGGTCAGTACCAGAATCTGCGTCGCTATCTGGGGGCAGCGATATTGCGTTTGGCTTCGCCTCTGCATTCGTATCATCGTCTTCATCGTGGCTAGACTCGCTCACTATGTCGGATTCGGTTGAACCTTGTGTGGAGTTGGGGGCTGAGTGGTGCTCTAGTTCCAACTCATCGGCCTCCGTGCTTGCTGGGTTTGCCATTGCAGCTTCACTCTCAGGTATACTGGAGTCCAAGTCCGGTTTGGGTTGCTCGTGCATGATAAAGTCTCCACTCTCTGGGACACTAGAGTCCAAGCCATCTTCCTGGGAGGCTTCCTGCACAGCTGAGGATATCTCTGCGCGGTCGCCGGCGTCTTCCACAGCACTGGACTTTAGCTGTCCCGGCTCTGTCATCTCTTGAACAATGGCTGATCTCTCGCGAGTGTTGACCGAGCTTTGTGTGCCCTTTTCGTCCAAAGTCGACTTCAAGTGCTGTTCTAATTGCGCAGATGGCGTGTCTTCATTCGAAAACGGGTCTCGAACTTCGTAATAAGCTTCGCCTTCAGGAACGGAAGATTCCAAGGGTTGTTCGTCCATCGGCGCGTCATCCGGCTCTTGCCCAGTCCTAGTCCCTGGAATGCCTGATTCCGGATCCCGTTCCGAGGCAGTCTCCATAGCCTCCTCGTCCAATAATGGGAGATCTCCAGCTGCATTCGCGTCACGCCTGACCTTTGTCTGAGGAGTGGGAGACGACATAAGGCACGACATGTAGTCCATATCTGTATCAGACTGGGTTCCCTGAGTCTCAGGGCCAAAGGAACGGGCGTGGAAATTAGTGAATCGCTCGACAAGACTCCCCGTGAAAGAAGCGTCTGCTGTTCGAGATGCGATATCGGTGTCGGGCGCCCTGGCCTGATCTGCGGGAATATACTGTGCCGCATTGATTTCGATCCCATGAGTGGTGATGCTCCGCTTCTTGTATGAAGGCCTAGAGTAGGACGACGCAAAGAACTCTTCATATACCAATGACTTGGTATCCGTGGAGAGACACTCTTCAAGATAGCGTGGATAATCCTCCAGATGCTTGATGATAAAGTCATCCCATAAGAATGACCGCTGCAAATGTCCCTTGGAGCGGACGGCCTGGAGTTTCGAGCAAAGCTCGGTAAAGTGAGCAAAGTCCCCTGGATAGTTCGGATAATCCCGTCGAAACTTTTCATACACCCTTTGGGCCTCCTCCAACTTTTGGGTGGAGTGGTTGATGTAGCTTTGGCGACGAACGACTATGTTCAACGCTGGTTCTTCAGTTGGCTGTTGATGAGGCTCCATCTTAGGCCGTTTGGCAGGGAACTCTTGCTCTTGTCCGATCTCCGATACACGACGTTTCGGGCGCGGCATTGTGGGCTGCTCGGCAGGCGTATCTCGCATCTCAATGCCCGCTACAACCACCTCCCCGATCTTTGAAGGTATTGATGAAGGCATTTCTCTGTATGAGGAAAACGGATCTGACTTCTGTGAGTTGTGCATCGGGCCATTGATCGAGACACTGGGCGGTTGAACTCCTGAAGCAGATGAATTGAACCCCATATCCGACGTCGTATACGGCGTTGTGTCGTTATGCAGACTGCCATTGCTCACTTGTGTGCTAAGTATATCGGAGTTCTTATGAGCGGCGGCGCCATTTTGACGATCCTGGGATGTAGTTTCTTTGGATCCACTACTGGCATACGTGTTGAGGATCCGTGACTGAGATGAGGATTTCGCTGCGTCAGATGACAGTTGCCCACCGTGATGAGTTCTATTTCCAGCATCTTTTCTAGCATAGTCCACAGATCGACGACTGACATTGTTGTCTGGCGTGTCCACTACCTGCACATGTTCGCGGATGCGACGCCCAGGAAGTGACGAGCCAGAGCTTGTAACTTCCCGTTCAGATTGACTAGCAAGTTGTACTTGTTGCACATCACCGAGCGGACACGGAACGGACGTGTCCATCACCGAGTCTTCGCTTTCAGCATCGGACTCATCCTGGAGATCCCGTACATGATTTGTAACTTTCAGTTGAGACGTCTCACGGCAAGCGAGCTGACCATCCCCGTTGGAATTTAGACCCACGGTGTCATCTTTATTTTTGAACATCAGTTGCGGTATGATTTGATCATCGCGAGCAGACTCCAAGCTACCTTGCGGCGGCTGTTCGGACGTCTCGTTATTTGACTCTCCTCCCTTCCTAAAGGTACGAACACGCACTGGGCTGCTATCTTCTGGCAGAACCTGACGTGAACGTGACACCCGCTCTGGGGAACTTGACCAGTCTGACGTCAAAGGCTCGCCCTCCGATTCCGAATCGGTCTGAGGTGTAGGGCTGGGTTGGCTGGGTAGGAGCTGGTGAGACTCGGCCTCCACGTCCACAGACGTCTTGTGCCGAGCCATGCGACTCCTTCGTAGTGCCGTTTCGTTCCATTGATGAAGTAGTCTGGGTGGCACATGCCCCTGTGGCGTACTTTCTCCCGGAGATGGTGGTATCCAACGGCGCCTATGTTGTTCCAGCAGTTCGGCTTGTTCTTTTGGGATCTCAATGTCTCTCCGTCGAATCTTTGTCATTCCATACCAAGGATCGGTATTATTGGGATACGGTTTCTCCGGTTTTATAGACTGAGAAGACAGTTTATTAGGACTTCCTTGAATCGCATTGGATGTTAACCCATTTGCTGTGACGGCACGATTTGGCTTTGTTGCATATTCTTCGCCTGGTAGATCAGAGGGTGGCTGGCTAACTCTCGGGGCCCCCGGTTCGCTTGGCAGTCGACTGAGGATATCAGGTTCCCTGGTCCCTGTGGCATTCTCAAGCCTTTTTTGGCTAGCAGTCGATGAACTTCGTCGGACATTCATGGAGTTGGAGGAAGGCTTGGTAGCCTCAGCGTTGTTCTGTCTACTCCGAAGCTGTTCTGCAGCCTCTGTCTTTCGTCTGTGCACATTGTCATTACTTAAGTCGGGAACATCCGGCATCCGCACACGCATTTCTGCATTCCCCAATAAATTATTTGTCATATCAGAACAGCTAATAGACGAGGTACGAGCCGCTGGACTCTCGAAAGCGGACATTGGGGGTATTTGGGACATCAGAACGTCTTGCGAAGCAGATATTCGAGTGCCCTGGTAAGCCTGTGTTCCGAAAGTATCATCGAATGGCTCCGCATGTGCCGCATCGTCCGCCTCAGGGCCCCTAATACTGTGAACAACATGTTGCATCAATTTCTTGACGGAAGGGTTCTTATTGACCAACTTGCCCTGCGGGGCTGATTTTGTCTTTCCGCGGCTCCAGTCGATATCGAAACGTCGAACGTATAAATGGACCTTTGGCTCAACTGTTGAATACTCCAGGACCACCTGAAAGTCCAACAATTGGATATAGTAACCCCGAGTCAGGTCCGCGCATAACGGATGGCCCGGAGCTGTTTTCCCGTAGGCCCGCAATGCCTCCTGTGTAAGAATCGCCTCGATCTGGGACTTGGAATCGGTCAAAATTAATTTGGGTACGCCCTCTTGCTCCCTCCACTAGTCGGGAAGATAGAGTCAGTACAGTGATCTTCATAGCTGTAAACGATTGAGAGAACTCACACTTTGGATCAAAGCCGAGTGCTGAACACGGGTAGAGAAACGAAGGTTACTACCATCATCTTCGTACTTAGTACTACCAGCTGGACCTTGATCATAAGATGCGAGACATTTCTCAAGGACGGATGCGATCCAGATCTCGGCGGAGCCCATCGTGAGGATCTAGAAGCAGGCAAATGCGGGCGAGCTTTTTGGTATAGGGCCACATAGTCCGGTGATAGAATTCAGCAGATCAAGTTTTGGTTAGTGTACGGATACGAATCCACGCTGGTTTCAATCCATCTGCAAATGCAGAGCTGTATAGTGGATAGCAATACTCATGATGATCTTATCCCTCCGATTATTCGAGTCTGGCACCTAGCGTGAGTTGCGCAGCTCATTAATTGTTCCTGCCAGAGACGCGACCTCATCGGCAACCGACGCGCCTGACCGCCTTTGAGGTGGCGCATTACTACTTCATTCGCCACAGCACCAGCCACGACGCGGCCGCCGACGCGAACCACGTCATTGGGCAGCGGCACATGTCATGGGCACCGCCCGAATCCCTGTTGCTGCTAATCGACAAGGTCTAGACAGTAGACAGTGCAGCCGGTCTCATTCAACATCTTTTCTCCCCCGCTTTGCTCCTCTTCTCTCATCGGAGACAAAGGCTGCCTTTGCCTGTCCCCTCGGTGTCTTCGACTGACTGATTTTCTTTTATCCGACCTCCCCTCCCAGGAAATGTGGAGTTCATCTCCCCATGCATGGACACTCACCGCACAGACTCCGATCACCGAGCAACGGAAGCTTCTCCGCAGCAAGATACCGCAAATGCTTGCCACCCCTTGCCTTGCCAAACCCGTCTGATCAACGTTCGATAAGATTCCGCGGGGATATCTGCTTTTTCGTGTTCTGTCCCTGGGAACGACGAAGCCTGTATGGCTTCCCAACAGTCCCAAGGGACCTCGAGCCCCTCCGCCTCATCTGTCTTCCTTCCTCTCGGTCGCCGCGGTTCTCGAGCTTCCGTATCAACACAGGCGGAACGTGAAAGCCTGCACGCAGCCCTCGATCAAATACATACCGCAGCCTATCAGTCGGATGCCTTGACAGTTTTCAACGAATTTACGAGCCCTCCTGCCCCGTCATCTGCAACGGACGAGAAAACTATTTCGGGCGAGCTGCAAGGTGGGCTGAGCGGGCTATACAGTCGCTTTAGGACTTCAGTGGGTGGTATTGTGAGCGGGGTTGGGAAATCATCAGACAAGAGCTCTGCGGATGATGCTGGTATAAAAAGTCCTCCGTCAGAGCGCTCGTCCATAAAGCCTGCTCATGAGACCTCGGAGCCTCATCAGCACTATGCGGGTTCGTCACAGGGATCAAGGCTGCACTCACCTGCGCCTGGGAGCCAGCACTCTTTTCAGGATGGTGTTCCTGGACCGGGAAAGAGCGCAAAACATTCTACCAAATCAATAAGCTCATCTTCGAAGCCGTTAATATCGCCTGCGCTTAAATCCCCGGTGGCACCTTTACCAAAGGCTACGGGTAGCTCAGCAGCCGTTGACCCGATGGTTACTGAACTTCATGTGAATGCTACTCATGCCTCAAGTACGAACTCGGTCAATATTTCCTCTAACAGTTTGCAAACTGTCGAGTCCGCTGGCACGGACAGGGAAGATGGTCCTCACACTACATCTATGTCCTCGTCGGGTTGGAGCCAGCGACTTTCGAATTCCCCGGTCTTACAGGTCAAATCGAGCTCCGCGAACGAAACTCCAGGAAGCCATGATATCAGCAGAACATCTACGATGGGCAGTCAGGTGCCTGAAAGTTTCAGGAGGTCGGACTCGCAAGGAACTCATGAGATAGAGGCTGCCTTGCCTGGCCCGCTGCGCAAGGCTAAACGTTCGATCGATGGGACTCAAGATGGCTTACCCTTCCCCCCTGAGAGGCTACGATCGAATTCAGGCGCATCATTCAACTTGGACAGAATCAACACAGCCTCTGGATCAAGGACGAATAGCGTCACTCAATACAACAGCAATGAGGTAGCTCCATTCATTGAAAAGCAAGTTCCTTCTGGAGTCGCTACGCCCATGCCGATGCCTGACGATGAGCCTCAACGGAAAGACTTACCAAAGCCGTTAGTCAAGCATAAGACTGGGGAAAGGCAGTCCATATCGAGCGCGAGCCGGTTGCCGGGATATGTGGCATCCCAAGCCTCCACAGCAGAGTCAGTATCTGGCCCACCAGCTTTGGCTCCATTGAACACGTCTGTGGACCGCATTTCTGGCACAGACGGAAGAAGCTGGCGTCCGCATGCAAGTGGCGACGGCGTCATGTCCCAACTCCGAAGCAAGCTACTGAGCAAGGAGTTCTGGATGCGAGATGAAAACGCAAAAGATTGTTTCCACTGTGGCGAGCCCTTCTCTACGTTTCGACGAAAGCACCACTGTCGAACGTGCGGGCAGATTTTTGACTCTAAGTGCACACTATTAATTCCGGGTGACCGGTTTAGCCAAACTGGAACTATACGTGTTTGCAAGCCTTGCGAGGCTATGATAAATGGCCATGACGACGATTCTTCCGAGTTCTCTGATAGCGAACAAAGTCCCATACCGATGATTCCTCGAATGTCCGATTTCGGATCGGGAATCTATCCGCGTATCCCCTCTGAGGAGGATGATACCTCATCGGTGGTGTCTCAATCCATCGAACATGTGATGAAGACTCCTACTATGGCCATCCCCGCAACACGGCGTGCAGGAGAAGGCCACAACCGCCGATCAGCCGTGCTTGAGATTAGCCCAGATAGACCTCTAGCCCGGCCGACGTCCTCAAGATCCTTAAAATCGTCATTAAGTGGGAGGCCTCATTCAATGGGCCACAAGCGTCACCATTCCCGTCAGCAGTACATCCGGAGTTTCAAGCCCCATCACGATGACCGGGCACCTTTTCAGCGGCGCCAGGCAGATGATGCCGTGCATGAGTCCCGGCTGCCCGCATTTCATAAAGATAATATCATTGATCCTGACCTGGCACAGTACCTCTCCGATGACGCCTCTAGTGGCGAGGAACAGCCTAATTTATTGTCTGCCGTATCGGAAGGCTCGCTGTCCAAGAGTGGTGGAGAAAGTGAGCGTACTACGTTTAGTGGACTGCTTGCAGCCATGAAGAAAGGCCGGCACGCGTTTGGAGATCGGAGTGTTGCTGGTCTGAACTCTTTTGGCCGCGAACCAGATGATGGTAGTGTTAGCAGCTCGAGAGCAGTAAATTTGCCTCGTCCTTCCCGTCGGCGCAATCTTAGTGTTGCAAGTAGTATCCACCAGCGCCACTCTCCGAGAGCATCGAAAGATAGTATGTTTAACTCACTCGAACAACCGGCTGCCGTTCACATCTTGCCCCCAGGAGTGCCACCAAGCGGCTTCAAGATGACCAGAAGCTCGTCTATGAGAGGAGCAGGTGCACCTCCGGTTGAGCTAAACAAAGCTAGTCTCCAGCATGTTCGCAAACTGCTACGACAGCTCCTGAAAGACTCGTCCGTGCCAAACGTCTCTAAGTGGGAAACGGCTCTTCTGCCGATACTTCTTAAGGCAGCGGATGAGGTTGTTCCGGACGTGCAGGGGGGTGACGATATGGATATTCGTCACTACATAAAGTTAAAGAAGATTCTGGGTGGCCGACCAGGAGATACTTCCTATGTTTCAGGATTGGTCTTCACGAAAAATCTTGCCCTCAAAAGTATGTCAAGGAGCATACCCCAACCAAAGATCCTGATAATTGCCTTTCCCCTTGAATATGCACGACATCAGCAGCACTTTATGAGCCTGGAACCTGTTATCCGGCAGGAGCGTGAATTCCTTGCGAATTTGGTGAGCAGAATAGCTGCTTTGCGGCCTAACCTGCTTCTAGTCGAGAAGAATGTCTCCGGCTTAGCCTTAGAGCTGTTGGAAAAGGCCAATATCGCCACCGCATACAACGTCAAGTCATCGGTACTTGAAGCTGTTTCTCGGTGTACTCAAACCAGGATCATCACATCTATGGATAAGTTGGTGACCACCCCGGTGCATAGCGACTGTGGCAGCTTTGATGTCAAGACATATGTGTACAACGGCCGAAAAAAGACATACATGTACCTATCTGGCTGCCGTAAAGAATTGGGCTGCACGATTGTTTTGCGCGGTGGTGATAGCGAGGTGCTTTCAAAGGTCAAAAGAATCACTGAATTTATGACCTATGTTGTCTACAACCTCAAGCTGGAGACCTGCTTGATGAGAGATGAGTTTGCGCAGATGCCGGCCTTGACTGATGCCGAGACGGAGAAGAAGACCGACGCAGGCCACGTTTCTAGCGAGGGGGCGAGTAGTTCCTCTGCTAAAGACACAGCAGCGGGCACAGAGACTGCAAGCGAAGTGCCCGACGACGTTCCAAGGCCAACTTACTACGAAGATATTGTTCGGGACCATGAAACGAAGGTTCTGTCTGCGTCTCCATTTGTCCAGTTTGAGCCTCCCTACCTGCTCATGCGTGCCCGAGAAATGGAGCGCAAGTTGGCTTATCTTAAGCGCCTCCGCGACAAAGACCTTAACCTTGACCAGTCAGCAGATGAGAAGGCCAAATCTCAGAAATTTATACTGATCACCCCCGAAATGGTTCATGAGTCACCCGAGGGTGCTCCACCGAAGGTTAAGGAAGTTCTACGCGCAGTCCATGATGCCGAGTATGATAGAGCTCTTCATCATTATCAAACCCAGAAGCGTCAGTGGGAAGCTTATGTCGCCGGAAGCGTCGGCCTTTTTGATCCGTACGCCCACCAGAACATCGTCGTCCTCTTCAGTCTTGTCTGCACTACAACGTCAATCCCCTGCTCCGGCCCGGATCTTCTTGCCCTCGAGTACTACAACGAGCATGGTGGAGACCCGATATTTGAGCCAGACTGTACTTTAGGACAGTATGTCGAGGATATCTGTCTACATGCAAATGCAGTATGTACGGCGAATGGCTGCGAGAAGCGAATGTTTGAGCACCACCGTCAATATGTGCATGGTGAAGCCCAGATAAGTGTTTTCACCCAGCCCTATCCCTCGAAATTGCGGGGCCTCCAGGATACAATCTTGATGTGGAGCTGTTGCAAGATCTGCGGTAATGAGACCCAAGTTTTTCCGATGTCGGAGAGTACCTGGAAATATTCGTTTGGGAAGTACTTGGAACTCTCGTTCTGGAGCAAGAACCTACACGCTCGGGCGGGCGTTTGCCCTCATGATTTGCAACGTGATCACCTTCGATTTTTTGGCTTCAAGGACGTCGCTATACGAATCCACTACGACAGCATTAATTTGCTTGAGATCATTGTTCCCAGAACTCGGGTTACATGGAAAGTGGACAATGACTTGAAGCTCAGAAACGAGGTTTATCAGCGAATGGAGCATCGCATCACTAGGTTCATGGTTTCAGTCAAGGCACGGCTCAAGGGAATCAGTGTTGAGACCGTTATCCCTCAACAAGCCGAAGATTGCAAAACGCAGATAGAGCACCTGAGTAAGAAGGCTAACGAAGACCATATCCTCTTGATCAAACAGCTACAGGAAAAATACACCAACTCGCGATACTGGGAAGTAATCCCCCTGAATGAAGTGATCCGCTCTGTTCAGGAGAAGGTTGTCGAATGGGATGCTGCTTTTGCTGAGTTCGAGAAGAATTTCTTCCCTTCGGAAAAGGATATCAAAAGATTGGCCACTCTGCAGCTGAAGAAAATCTTCATGGACAAGGAAGTGATACCTGAAGAGCCTCCTACCACGCCAAACGAAGCCGACAATGAAATCGTCGAAATGCCGGAAAGAATGCGATTAACGCGCCGTATGACCCTTTCTCCGGAGAAGGCACAGGACGTCCTAGTATCTGTTGTCGAAGAGCATTCGGGAAAGAAAGACGTTGCTGCAAGCCAGGGGAGTGATGCCATCAAGTCTGACGATGTCGGCTCTGCAACTCTCTCTTCCAGTTCAGGGAGCTCGCAGTTCTCACCCCCGCAGGCTGAGATTGCGGCCGAAAAAGAGGTGCAGCATCTGGATCTTGCAACGCCTTTGAATCACTCTGAGCATCCGGTACTAGCACCGCCTACCACGAAGGCAATAGACAGTCAGGAGCCCCCGGAGCCTTTAGAGTCACCGGAGCCAAAATCTACCCCTACTGAGTCTGATGTAATTTCAACTGAACCCCCTCCTGAGGAGCCAAGTGCTCGTCAGAGGAAGAAAAGTGACGAAATTGAAAGAACTGCAACTCCGAGTCGTTTTCCATCAGCCATCCCCCGACTTGCCGAAGCTACTTTGCGACGCAGTGGGAAGTCTACTTCTCCACCATTATTCCGTGCTCAAACGCAACCTGCTCCTTTTCAAAGGGACCTAGGCAATGATACAACCCCAATAAAGGGCATGAAAATCGCTTTTGGCAGATTGACACCGTCGGACGGAGCTCCAAGCCCTCCGTTGGACTCCAAGTACAGGTCTTCGGACAACAAGAAGCTCTCGGAACGTTTCAATCTGGCACTCCGAAGTGGGAGAATGACGCCAGGCGCATCTCTCATACCTCGTTCTATACCGACCCGAAAGAACTCTCGAGTATCAAACCTGGCTAAGCACTTCGAGCAGTTGAGCCGCGAGTTTGAGAAGGAACGGCAACGCGAAAGAGCGCGACGAGCTGCCAAAGGTACCCATTCTCGCGCAATCCCAATAGCGTCCTCGAAACCGATCGTCGAGGTATATAAGAATGTCAGGGAAGCAGTTGAAGAACGAGAGCCCTCGGGCGAAGGGGAAGATTTTATACCCCCAGCATCACGTATCCCTCAAGACCAGTCCAGCAGAAATAGCGAAGAACTACCGCGACGGGACTCCGAGGAAGAGAGCAGGCAGGACGATGCCTCACAGGAACCTTCTGCTCCCAAAGAAGAAAAGGAGAGCGCTAGCCCTGAGGACGAACATATATTGTCTGAGGTCGAAGGTGAGGAACACAGTGATGAAGATCGAGACGACCTGCAAAGAACAGACTCGAATGATGAGATGAAAATGTCACCTGAGGACGAGTCGATGGATTTGAAAGAGTTTCCCAAGCATGAGAGGAGTACACTATTGAAGCTCCTGACAAATTTCTGGTCGGAGCGTTCTGCCAGCGGCTGGGCACCTCTAGATTATCCACTTACCATGTCCGATCATGTTTTTGCAGATTGCGACATAATCGTGCGGGAAGACGAACCAAGCTCCTTGATCGCGTTCGCTTTGGACTCCAGCGACTACAAGGAGAAATTAGAAGCCATTCAAAGGCGCTACGAGGAGCCCGACGAGAAGAACACATATGAAGAGGATGGTAACGATGCTTTGGACGAGACCCGAGTCGAACATGCACTCTTGAGGTCGACCGGTACACATCTGAAGTATCAATTTCAGGAAGGTCAGGCCAAAATGCTGTGCAAGGTATTTTACGCCGAGCAGTTTGATGCCTTACGGAAGAAATGCGGAGTTGCAGAGCGGATTGTAGAATCGCTTTCTCGATGCGCCAAATGGGACTCCAAGGGAGGAAAGACCAAATCTTTATTCTTGAAGACCCTCGATGATCGCTTCATTCTCAAATCGCTTTCACCCATCGAAACACAGGCATTCTTGAAATTCGCCCCAGCGTATTTCCAGATTATGTCCGAGGCACTGTTCCATGAGCTGCCGTCTGCGATTGCGAAAATGTTCGGTTTCTACCAAGTGATTATCAAGAACCCCGCTACCGGGACAGAGTTCAATTGGTTTCTCCTGTTGATGGAGAACTTGTTCTACGATCGTGTCCCTACCCGGATTTTCGATCTGAAGGGTTCAATGAGGAATCGCAAAGTCCAGAGCACGGGAGAACGCAACGAGGTCCTTCTCGACGAAAACATGGTTGACTTCATCTACGAAACACCGTTATTTGCGCGGGAGCACTCGAAGAAGCTTCTGAGTCAGAGCGTCTGGAATGACACTCTGTTTCTGGGACGCCAAAACGTGATGGATTACTCGCTCATGATCGCTATTGACGAGAGTCGTTCAGAGCTAGTGGTTGGCGTAATCGACTGCATCCGCACATACACCTGGGACAAGAAACTAGAATCCTGGATCAAAGATCGTGGATTCGCTGGTGGCGGCAAGAATCGACCTACAGTCACCAGTCCAAAGGAGTACAAGAGTCGATTTAGGGAGGCGATGGCGCGATACGTGCTCCAGGCCCCAAGGTATGTCTCTAAGACCTCACACTCCCCAATCTCAACAACACTTGCTGACATGGCCATAAGCTGCTGGCACCAATTCCAAAATTCCCAGCTCTACAGATACGCCCCAGTTGAACACTACCCGAGCCAGAGTTATGCCACCGCGGACGCTGATGCTCTCGAGGAGACGACAAGCTGAGCGGGTCAGTTCCTCCACGGACAGTTCTGTACTAAATCAAGACCTTCATGACGGATATGACTTGACGAACACGACATGATGTACCAAAAATTCCCACTTCCAGTTCATTCATTGATGCTACATTTACACTTGGCGTGTCCATCCAACTTTTGTGTACGGTCTTTGAGCGGTATTTCTTTTTCTTTTGCTTTTGCTGTTTCTCCTCGTTCCACAAGCATTCCTTCATTTTAATGAGTGTACGAGACCACCATTACCACCACCCACCTAGACTACTACTAAATAGGACCTACCATAATACTACGCAACCAGCCATAATGACCATTACAATAACATAAGCAAAACAAACAGCAACCTGAATACATTCCTACATAAAATCCAATTCATAAAAAAGGAGAAACAGTATACCCGAAGGTAGTAAGTAGTAGAACGTAGTAATCCTTTTTCCGGAAGAACCCCGCGACACAGACACAGACACGAACTTCCCGAAAACACCATCGGCTGAATTCGGGACGTTCGGGTTACCATTCGGGAATCTGATTTGCTGCTCCGCGGTTTTAGTTCTCCTTCAGTTCAGTTTTGGGCAATCTGATTTCCCACATCGTCGCGTCACGGATTTTCTTTCTTTTTTTCTTTTCGTGTGCTCCTCTTTTTTTCTCCCCTCCTTTTATTTCTCTTTACTCCTTTCTTTTTGTATGTCGGTTGTTGAAGATTGCTCTCTCTCCATTGCTCTTTAATGGCGGGTGTAAGGCGGGATAATATAGCCTTACGCTCCGCGCTGCGCTACGGAATTGACTCACGAACTATTTAACATGACTAACTGAATTACTGCCAGTGGCTACTTACTAGGTAGCTATGGGCTGACTGAACTTCTGAAATGTGAAAGATTGACAAATACCTTGCCTCGGTTGAGGCTTCTTGTTCCGTTCCCCCGCACGAGAAAAGGGCTCTCGATTCGAGGGCGCATTGGGAGGGGTTGGTTCTTGTGCCACCCTCTTGTCTCGCTCTCTCTCTCCGTTTCTCTTTTGATCTACTACTACTTACTCAGTTCTCTTTTTCCTTCTGCAACTTTCTACATGATTGTTGGCTGTTGTTGACGAAACTACGTCCGATTCATGTCTTCGGACATGCCATCCATGGCTTTACGAAGCGATTCGTTGTTTACCAACATTAGCTACTTTGCTCTGGCGAATGATGAATTCTCAAGGGATTCGGAATGCATTTCCACTAACAAATCGTACTGACTGACACTCAGGATGCTGTGCTTTATCTCATCGAGGCATTGTGAACAACTCATTAAATTCTAGCTTTTGATCGCAGCAAAGTCCACCAAACATGGCTGGCTAACTAACGTCAAATCAAGATACATACACATTACGTTCCCAAGGTGTGTGTCTTCCCCCAGCGCGTTTCGGGCTCAAAGTGAATGTGGTGGTAGACGCAAGTGCGCACTCCTGGTGCTCCTCGTCCTGCCCCGACTAACGAGTCTCGCAGTGAAGACACAAGCAGCCTGCCCGCGGGGAGACTACCTGAGTCATCGCATGGCGGCGAGACCGGTCTACGATATCCAGAGACACACCCTTGACGCTTTCTATCCAATCGCTGTCGTTACCGTGTCATCCACCAACCGGTGGCATGCCAGACTGCTTTTGCATTTACTCAGCCAGGCCAAGGTTCTCCTCAGCAGGGACCACACGGACGGTGTTGGTGTGGCCCATACCGCCGCGCCATCCCTGGACACAGACGATGTTGTCACCCTTGTTGATGATGCCGAGCTTAAGAGCGTGGTTGATACCCCACTTGAGACGGCGGTCAACATCCTCCTGCCAGACCTTGACGTTGAAGTCGGGCTTCTTCTCGGGGAAGAGGAAGGGCCAGACACCACGGTACAGGTGAGAGTACTGGATTCGACACGTTAGCACACGACCTCTCGAAACAACACTACGCTTCTCGACTTACCCGGGAGGCAGCGGGGTTACGGGTAACCATGACAATGGGGCAGACGGGGCGGTACTTGGAAAGGTAGCGAGCAGTTTTACCGCTGCGATCTGTCAGCAATCATCCTACCCAACTGGATATTTGCAACTCACCTGGTAGTCAAGACAACGATGGCACCAGCGTTGAGTTCCAGACTGGCGCTAACGGCAGCCATGGCGATGGACTCGACAGTGTCGGTGGGGCGAGGAGCAAGGTTGCGGAGCTCATCGAACACATTGAAGTGGGGGATGGCAACCTCGGCGAGCAGGCAGGTCTCGGACATCATCTTGACGGCCTCGTTGGGGTGGTTACCCTTGGCGGTCTCTCCCGACAGCATGACACAGTCGGCACCGTCAAGGACGGCGTTGGCAACATCGGACACCTCGGCACGAGTAGGACGAGGGTTGTATGTCATGGACTCGAGCATCTGAGTGGCACAGATGACGGGCTTACCCTTGATGTTACACTTGGCGATCATCATCTTCTGGGCGATGAAGACCTTGGGGGCGGGGATCTCGATACCAAGGTCACCACGGGCAACCATGACACCGTCAGTCTCTTCGAGGATCTCGTCGAAGTTGTTGACACCCTGCTGGTTCTCAATCTTGGCAATGATCTGGATCTCCTTGCCCTCCTCACCCAGAACCTCACGGATGTGGCGAATGTCGCTACCGCGGCGGATGAAAGAAGCGAAGACCATGTCGACCTTGTTCCTAACACCGAACTTGAGATCGGCAATGTCCTTCTCGGAAAGGGCGGGGAGGTCAACGTCAGTGCCGGGCAAGTTAACACCCTTGCGGGAAGAGATGTTGCCGTTGTTCAA